ACCAGCCTATGCAACCACGAGGTGTCGAAGGGATCAGTTCTTGATTTTGTGGACTATTTTAGACAACTGGCCAATATTGTGGTTAATCATTCTGTTTTCCCACTGGCTTTCATGAAAGCTGGGGCAACCTACACCAATCATTGTCCCTAGATGACCTTTTAGAACGGAAAAAAATAGTCCAGAGAAACTATTGGGACTATTTTGTTCTGAGCATTGAGTTCTTTTTGACAAATTCAGACTGCTTAGAGAAAGAGACTCTAACAAGTTAAGTCATATTAGACATTTGAGTTAACATCAAGTTGGTAAGCATTTCATTTGCTCTCCAAGACAATGCTGTGATATGCCTTTCCAATGGTTGTAGTCACACTGTCACTCCCTTATTACATATCTTAAAACTTTGAGGAGGACGCCCTCAGTTTGAATTGGTTGATTTTTATTTTGTTTTGTTGGAGGGAGGAGGCAAGGAGGAACCAAATGGTTCCTCCAATATGATTTTGCACTGTAGTTATCCTAATTTGAGAAGACACTCCTATAATGATGATCAAAGAATTTCCACGATCAGAAGAGGGAAAGATACTTAAGGGCACTTGCTCATTTTGTCTGTCTTTGAGGTGACTTCACAGTTTGGGAGGGTGAACTAAGAAAGGTAGTTTGCCCTTGAGAAAAATACCACATTTTATAGATCACCACTGGGGGCATCGACCCTGTATCATTTTGCTAAGCATAGGTTTTTACCTGCATTTCTTTCCTGCCTTTGGTGATCGGACCTCATACCTTAGGCTACCCAGATGTTAGATTTTGTCTTTGCAAGGTATATAGTATTCTTTTAACTAAATAATAAATTGCCTCAAAAAGTAATCAACATCACCATTAAGTATTATCATCCCTTTAAAAGTCACCTATATGAGCCCCCAAATTACTTTGAAATAAAGTTGAGACTGTAAGGTGGTAGGAGAACTATACTAATGGGAAATAGGACCAGAATGGCACTAATGAGAATTGTCAAGCATTGTAAAGAATATAACCAATGGCATGGAACAACTTCTATTTGTGTGGAAATGTTTGAATGGGAACCTAAACTACTTTATGAACCTTCCTTAAAGACACAGTAAAATACTTTTAAAAAACACTTAACCTCTCAATCCTATATTTCCCCTTTATTCTCATTTTAGATGATGTCTGAAAAGCAGGGAACCCCATCCATTATATAGAGAGCACTGGATTACTTACCTTGCTCCATTCCAAGGCCATGGTTAATTGTGGAAAGAGTCATTTTGGCTCTAGAGTGGGTGGTGATGGTGAAATTTGCTGTCTAACAATTGCTCTAGAAGTGCTATGGCTTTGAGTTGACTCCTACCTTGGCAGGAGATGACAATTCATCACTCTTCAAGCAGTTCTACTCTGTCCTATGGGGCCGTGAGGAGAACAACACAGTGGGTTTGTGTTTCAGGGTGTTTTTTTTTTTAAATCTTTTCGGTCTCAAAAATACTCCAAATCTCCCATCAAGGTGATGTTATCCAGTGATGTCAAATCCCACTCTGGTATCAACTCAGTGACTGGCCTTTGATCTTTTTTGAAGATGAATAGTAAAATAATGGAAGGAGAGGGGAAAATATTCCCTTGGAATGAATAGCACAGGAGAAATCAATGTCTGAAGAAGGAAGAATTAACCAGGTGCTAAAGATAACCTGTACTGTCTTCATAAAGCAGGTGCTGAACAAATGGTGGGGGTGGCAATTACATGTAGACTGGCTGACTTCATGAGAACCCAGAAGATACGAAAGCTAATCCAATGCGAGCATGTGTCTCTGGATCTCTGTTATCCCTCCTTAAACACTGCCTGGTGTGTGTATGGCAAAGGGGCACATTTTCTTCATGTGCCACCCTGGGCTGCAGAAGACAGAAGCTGGGGCCCCTTGCAAACCACCTGATTTGGTAGCCAGCAGACTCTATTCACAAATGATTGATCACCCCACTCCCACCTCTCAGCCGGTGCCTTGCCTCACAAAACAGGCTTTTATGCAGTTTAAGAGAATCTATCAGAAGACATTTCTTTGGTTGAGGGATTACACTAAAAGTAGTCACCCAAGAACAAAAGTGATAGTATTAGAAACTGCTAGAGCCATAAACTCCAGGGCAGTCAGATACCTTATTTTATACAATATGTTAGAGAGTTCACCCAAAAGTTCTATATACTCTAACTCATTTAGATTGTATTCTGAACATCTTTATGAGGTAGATAAGGGATTAATGATCTCCTTGGGAGCGTGAAGGAATCCCTGGGTGGTGCAAACAGTTCCTTCTAACTGAAAAGGAGCCCTGGTGGCATGGTGACTGTGGGGTCAACTGCGATCTACAAGATCAACAATTTAAAACCACCAGCCTCTTTGAAGGAGAAACACAAGGCTTTCTACTGCCGTTAACAGTTAGTCTCTGAAACTCACAGGGTCATTTCTACCCTGTCCTATAGGGTCACTGCGAGTCAGCCTTGACTCAATGACAGTCAGTGAGTCTAATGGAAAAGTGTGACAGTTTACAGAGATGCCTTTAAAGAAGGGCCTGGTGATCTGCTTCTGAAAGATCACTGTCATGAAAACTCTATGAAACACTTTTACTCTGTCACTCATGGGTTCACCATAAGTTGAGATTGATTTGCTGGCACCTTTTTCCCCCCTCTTTCTTTTGTGAGCATGCCAAGTCTCAGAGTGGTTTAATAATTGCTCCAAGGTATCACAGACCTTGTGTTGGTTCTGGATCTACTTGTTCAGTCCGTTATTCTTGCCCATCTTCTCTTTTTTATATGGTCAAAGTCAACTCTCGCAGACCAAATTTTTCAGGAGGCTCTAGTGTCAGTGGGTACTTTAGGCCAATGGAAGGGATGGGGGTGGCACACAAGAGTTAGAGGAAGGAGACTCTATGCTTCAGTTGGCTTTTACTGCAGGGGTTATGTTTTTCCCTTGACTGGACAGCCCTGCCCTGATGGACATTTACACAGGTGGACTCCACTTTCTCCATGCCTATGTTCTCTCTGCCTCCCTTTATCCCCCCGTTTTTTGCCTGTCTTCCTACTAATAATCTCTGAGTTGTCATGTTGCCCTTTTAGCTTTTCGGCACCTCTTGTACCTGAGTAACCAGTTTCTTGCATTAAAGTCTTCTATGTTAAACACTTAAGAGGTTTCTGTTTACTGGCTAGACTCTGTATCAGATAGGGTCCTAGCAGGAAGCAGATGGCTCACACCACACACAGGGTAACGGAAGAGAGCTTAATGTGACACTGTTTACACTGACGTGGGCATGCAGAATGGAGCTGATAGGGGATAGCAATGAATTACTAGGGACTCATCCTCCTTGGGCCCACAAAGGCAAGGGGAACAGGTAACATTACTAGGACCAAATAAGTAGTCTTGAAAGAGGGGTTGTCTGACAAGATTGGTGGTAGGCACATCCAAAAATCTCAGTGGGGGTGGGGGTGAGGGGGGAATACTCCACACACTTTTCTCGGTTCCCACCCTCCTGCTGCTTTTCCCCATTGATCAAGTACAACCAAATACCAGAGGGCAAAGGTGATGCCATTCACAGAAGTCAATCCCCAAGGACATAGTGAAAAGCAGAGAAGGCTAGAGAGCTCTGTGGAAGCTGAGGGGCTAAGAGTGTAGGGAAAGGCAAAGAAGAGCAACCAGCAGAACTGAGTAATGTAAACAATTGGAGGCTGGGTCAGGACTAGCTCCCTGATACTCTAATTTCAGATCAGTGAAACCTGTGAGCCCCAGAATTCAACGGAACTGCCTCATTTTTTCTGAGCCTTGATTTTGCGTGGGTTTTTTTTTTTTTGCTATTGACAGAATTCATCAGTCTTAGAACTTTTATATCAGTAGAAGATATTTTAATATTTCTTCTCTGACAGGTTTCCACTTTACACAAATTCTGACTTTTACAGGTTTTATTGCACCAAGTTTATTGCATTTCACCAGGTTGATTAGACACCAAATAAATACACAACTTAAATCCATAATTTTATTTTTGATTATTTTTATTGCACCAAATATGTTTAATATTTAGATGTTCCAAATGTTTGTTACCTCAGAGTGCTAAAACCCTCTCTGGGAAAGTCACCTTAAAACAATTGCCATTGAATCACTTCTGTCTCATGATCATCCCATGTGAGTCAGAATAGAACAGCATGAGAGAGGGTTTTTCATTTTGGAAAGTAGATGCCCCAGCTTTTCATTCTAAGGGCCTCTGGGCATATTCAAACCTTCCGCTTTTAGGCTAGCAATGAAGCATGTTAACCACTTGCAGTATCCACAGACCCCGTGCTTTCAAGAAGGACAATTTATGAAGGTGACACTGATAGAGCTCCTGAAACTAAACTTTTTGCGGTTCAGGAGATTTGGGGGAAATCTGATTTTTCACACATTAGTGTGTGTATGAGTGTTGTTTTAATAGTTTTCAATGAGCATATATATGCTTTTATAATCAGTGGGAAATCACACTATTTTAACTTGGGCATTTAAAACAAGGTTCTTTTCTGGACAGTGCCAACCTCATTTCTCGATTTTAAACAACATTCCCGAGTTCCGAAAAATAAAGAATTTCTTTGTTTCATACCAACAAAGAAATGTGTGCCACCAAGGGAAGTAACTTGTCCCAAGTCTCCCTGCCAGACTAGACACAGTTCTTTGGCTTTCCACCCACACTGGTACATTTTCTAATCCTCTAAAACTTGGTACTACTGCTTGACTCTGCAGAAAGCAATATTAACTGCCTTTTCCTCTGAAAACTTCTGTTAGGCTAAATGCTAACAGCCTTTCAGGTAGATGAAACAAAGAAAGGGCAATGGGAGGGTCAACTGAAGCAGGCTGGAAGAAAAGAGACCACAGACAAAGAGTGAGGTGAGCATGGGGGCTGAGTATCTTTGAGGAGAGCTGTCTGGAAGGGGGTGAGAGTTCAGCGACCATCACATCCAAAAATAAATGCAGAAAACAGTAATTGTCCATTGCTGTTCCCTTAGCAAATGCATCTGAATTTATTTTACTTAAACTAATGTCTGTGGAATTATGGTGGGTTGAGGTTTTGCCAGACTTAAAGTGCTTTATTGGTTTCTGCAAGTTGTGAGGTCGCCCTCCCCCTACTCAGCAGCAGGGGCCTTTTAGAGACAGATGCTTTGTCTCAGGAGGAATGCTTGGTTGGAATAGATTACTTCATATTCTAGACTAGAGTGAATCTGGTAATGTCTGAGAGGATGCCAAAGAATGTTCTTTATAATTTTACTCGAGTCCATTTAAGTACTTCGCATTTGTATGTATCAGAGAAACCAGTCTGCCTGTAAGTGGCATACCTATGTGTCTGGGCCAAAGGCCAGAGTAACCCGGGAGCATCTGGAGAGAGGGAAATGGAAATGTAGGGTGTATGTACAACGTTATGAGAAAACAATACAAAATAACTCTGACTACATGGAAAAGTCCTAATCCCATCTCACACTCAAGATTTAGGACCATAGAATGCCACAAAATATTCCAAGGGCTATGTATGTGCTGAAAAAAACTGGAAACCTGGGATGATGCAAATGGCTAGGTGTTTGGCCACTAGCTAAAGGTTGGAGATTCAAGTCCACCCAGAGATGATCTACTTCCAAAAAATCAGCTATTGAAAACTCTGTGGCAGAATCCTACACTGACACACATGAAATTGCCATGAGTCAGAGTCATCTAGAAGGCAACAAGTTAACTAGTAATGCAAACATAAGCTTTTTTGTAATTCCAAAAATTTAATCATTAATGGTAGAATTGTGGGAAGGAGGGTAATTTGTTCTACTGTAAGCATCAACATTAGGCCTGCCATAGAGGTTGAAGTTAACCCCAGCTCAAGTAAGTGTCTGTGATAATTATTGAGGAACATCTTTTGTTCTGGACTTTATGAAGTCAACCCAAGAGTTAAGTAATAAATTTCTGAGTCTATACAAAAAGCCATTAGATCGAGAGCCAGTAAACACAGTCTCTGTAGACAAGGCTTTTAAAAATTCTTGGCTAAGAAAACAAAGTCAAGGCACAGATTGTCCATTTGATACTAGATTCTTATTACTATTTCTTAGCTATATCTGCTTCAATGATAATAATCAAGAAAATCACAGATATCAATACTTATGTCTCCTTCTATCAACAGAAAAGTTCTTTGTTCATTAGCCCAGAAGGAATGAGTCTTCCCAGTGACATATCTGGTTGTCCTCCAGAGCTAGCTACCCTTCCAGATAACCACTGCATTTCCTCTGCCAGC